AAAAAGATTGATTTTTTCCCAAGGTATGCTTATGTTGTTAACCCTCACATCCTCACCCATATCAATAGGCGAGTGACCTGCAGCACAACCTTACAGCCTGACCGTCAGTGATGTCTTTTCTTAACATCGAGCCGGCCACAAAGGTAAGCTCTCTGTACAGAAAGGAAACGGCTAGCAAACACATGCGAGGTTTCACCTGTCGGAACGCTCGCCCTTGCCTGCCCTGTATGTAAACCGCAAAATTCCTAAATTTGCTCAAAAGTTGCAAAGTTCGAGGCGCTTGTGGCTTAAAGCAGTGGAAGCCAATGAGGCCTCTTCCCACGTGGCCTTCAGCGCCAAAGCGTGCAGTATCGGCCGCCTGAGCATCGAATGCCCCTGTAGTAGCCATGGTAGCAGGTCACCCACCTCCGACAACCACCACCCCTTGGGTAAGGGTAGTAAGGGTGGTAAGGGTGGTATGGACGGTATGGACGGTATGGACGATACGCGACAAAGGACCGTGGCATGAACTCACCCAGCGGCTCTTCATCAGCTTCATCAAACTCATCCCACTTGCCCTCCAATGGCCCTGGCTCTTCTGGCTCTTCTGAGTCTTCTGGATTTGGCTTCACCTCTTCCGTTGGAACTCCAACTTCATCTGCCTGCGGTGCATCGCCTCTGCCCTTGGTGTCCGCAAGTTCCTTTTCGGGAACTCCAATGGCATCCTGGTTTGCTTGTTCCTGTTCTCCTCGAAGGTGGTGCACTTCATCCTTGCTGAGGACCGGGTACATCAACATGGCAGCCACGATGGACAGCAGCTTCATGATTCGACCAGCAAGAGCACGGCGTTTCTCTGCACTCACGAACTTGCTTGATCCAATGGCAGGAACATTTTCCGCGGAACTGCTTCTGAGCGGTGTGCTTCATGTGTTTGGGATCCGAGCGATTGATGGACATGTGCCCTGAGAGCTCCAATCCCCAATCGTATGCAAATTCCAAATCAACCTCCTGCAACAACGCCTCACTCGTGAATTCTAATTAATAGCTTCTTGTTACTACTAGTAAGGCACTTGTTACTTACTAGCGATGCACTTGTTCCTACTAGCAAAGGTAAGGCTTTAACCGTTGCATCTGCCGAAATTCTGACAGTTTGCACTTCGAGCACATGTCCGAAACATGTAGTTGCACCTGACAAGAGTGCAGCATTTGGAAGTAGCAGCGTAGCATGGGGTGCTCAACAAAACATTCACAATGATCAGTCACCCTCCCTGAGATTGGCCAGCGTTTGCGGAATTGTGTCCTGAACTTCGAACTCGTTCCTTGGCTGAGATGTGGCAAGCACTTCTGAGCTTGACTAGCATTCTTACAAGTAACCTAGAAGCAATGGCCTCCAACCAAAGAGCGTGTGTAGGATGATAAGCTATTCCAACCTTAGAACTGTTTAGATCTTGCCCTTGTGGAAGCTGCGTTTTGCTTCAGGTTCTTACATCTTCTTGAGGTGGTCTTGGATTCCAAGTGGAAACTGAACGATTTCCCAGAGAGCTTCCAAACTCATCACTTCATGGTGCCGATCGAAACTCAAGCTTCGCGACTTAAATTCAGGCATGTGTCTTGTCACGCGGGCTCAGCTTTGACCTCAAGTATGTGACTGCAAACACCCAACGACTACACCACAGGGAAACCTCAAGAGCGCACACACACACACACATCTCACATTTGTGATACTTTGAATGAAACTGGACTACCAAGAAAAATTGAAGCCACACTTACATGTCCATATTTTCTTCCCCTCCCACCCTCTCTTTCCATGCTTTGCGTTCTCCTGAGCCATCCAACGGTGTTTCAACTTCACCTTCCGCAGCGGAGGTTCCAGGCGAAGCCACAGTGTTTCTATCTTTTAAAGGTGAAACACAGCGATGGCCTCCAACGGAATAAGGTGAAACACTCTTCATGAGATTGGAGCTGAGAAGTGTGGAATCACTTCTTGCAACAAAAACACACTCTTCAGAACTGTGACTGCTCACTAGACTGGATGTCTTCAGCGAGTCTGCGAGTCTTGGACTTTGCAGGTCACACGGAACTCATCGGAAGGGCGATGTCACGACTCGAGCGTCGGTATGCATCACAGGGTCACAGAGTTTGTTACTAGTAGCTTCTTGTTCCTAGTAGTACGGCCAGGAGCCCCT